TCAAGGGAACCTATTTCTATAATTTAAATTTCACTACCTTCTTCTTCACTACCATGAGTGTTAATCATCACACAATTTAAAAAATATTACATAAAATTGGTAATGGTATTATTCTATCTAGTTAGATTTATATATAAAATATAATCTTTACTTATGTCAAGAAAATCAAAAAGATACAAGATTCTTTTCAGAACAAAGAATCTTAGATACAGATACTAGTATCTTATTAAAAATGTCAAAAAGATACTGAGTATAAGATACAAAAGAATCTTGTATCTTAGATACAAGTCGTTGTCCCAACTCTATGAGAGGGTAACACATTTAGCTTAAATATTCTAACCTAATGTACAACTTCTTTTCACTGTATCCTCCTCAAGTGAAAATTCTGATTATAGAGCTGATTCATTCTATTCAAAAATGCATCTTTCAATGTTATAAACTATCCCATAATTATAAATAAGTAAGAATCTATATAAAATTAACGTTAACACATGTATGATAAGTTATATACAATTATTTTTCTATATTTTATTTTCACACAGAGTTGCAAATATGATTTTTCGCAACTCATTAAATATAAATTAATGTCAAAAAAATTCTTTGAAATAGTCAACGTCACCTTTTAAATTAATAGATCTGAAATAACGTAGCTTTATCGGGAAAAAATGTTGGTCAAAAAAATCTGCAGTTTTCCAAATTTAACTAATAGTGTCATGTAAAAATATATATGTTTTAACCAGTCAACTACTTTGTTGGAAGGGGAGGGGGGGGGGGGGTTAAATAAAAATTATATTAAAATCAAATTAGTTTTAAGCAATGAGTGGATAGGTACAACATTCATAAACAAATGGATGGAAGGACCAGACTTTTCCAGAACATGGGCTCGCGAGTTAAATATATTTTAAACAAATGGTACTTTCTAGCTTGTGGGTTAAGACTAGACCTCCCATTTTCCGATTTAGGTTGCGCAATGCCGCTAAATCAATAACTGTCTCGATTAGAATAACGAGACCAAATGTCCAGCGAAATTAAAAAATATCTTGCTAAATAGTCATAAATCTTAAAATTTCATAAAATCTCTAGCTTATTTATAAAATTGAATATTAAATAAATTAATATTTAAAAAAAGCTGTAATTTCATTCATATTTTATTAAATCTGTTATTTTCCTGCTAAATTTTGGGCTCAATATTAGCATGGGTTGTACGATACAATTGTAAAATCTTCACTAAGCAAGTGACAGGTATAGACAAAGTCGAAGCATATAATGAAATAGAAGAGAATTATTTAAAAACCATTATCCAATATATTTAAAAAAAATATGATTTTAATATAAATATCTTAAAAAAAGAATTGCAGATAGTTTTAAACTTAAAAATATGTAATATCAATGATATGCAGAATCTGTTATACTCTGTATATTCGTCATAAATGATGATTTACTTTTCAAAAAAAGATAAAATTTCTAAACTCTAATCAGGTATTAAACTTAGAAAAAAATATGTAATTTTTGAGAAAAAATCGTTCTTCAGTCTCATTCGATTTATTAGACGCCGAATTGATAAATTTTTAATTTAATGTATAAATAGGCGAAAAAATCATTCTTCGCTCTCATTCGATTTAATAGAAGCCGAATTTTGACATAAATTGCCAAGAGTTCGTGAAAATTTATTTCCAAACATAATAAATTTTTAAATAAAATAGATTCTTCCTATAGATATATAAAGATTTATATTTACTTTGACTTTTTAGACATGCAAAATATTCTAATAAAAATTGAAAATTTGTAATTTAACAAATAAAATCGACAATATTTATATAAAATGTGATTGCGTTAGTCCCGCTTTTTAATCATCGAAAATCCCGCAATCTCATTTTTAGAATATGAGAGGTATAGTAATAAGCCACTCATAGATCTCTAATTTATGTGTTCTTAAAAAATCTAACTTTTAAAAATTCTGCGAGCACTATAAAGAATTGAAGGGGGGGGGGGAGCTCATCTAGAATGAGTCCAAATAATTTTAATTTAACTTGATTAATAATTATTCTTAAGATTAATAAAAGTTTAATTTATAAAAATGATTAAATTATAAAGAAAAGTCCAGACGAATTAAACTTTCTTTCGAGTTTACGGATAACGTTTAATATATAATCAGTTAATTAAGTTATAATACCTTACATATTTATTTATCGAATAAAGTGTGCTATTCCTGGAGTGCAATTTATCAATAACAAATCCTGGTAAATAATTAAAGCTCGAAAGCATAGTAATAAATTTAGCAAAATCCACATAAAAAGCGTCTAGCAAACCTTATAGTTTAAAATGTATTTAACTTTAAAATGTGTAGAAATAATCCGAATTCGTTTGTAAATAATCCATCCATAATTAAAATTATTATAAAAAAAATAGCTAATATATTTATAAAAAAAATTAATATATACTTATTTGAAAGATATTTAGCTCAAGTCAAGAATATTAATAAAATTATTATATACTATAATATATTTGCATTTTGTCAATGATAATGTACGATAGGTATAATTATAAACAAAAAGGACAGGTGATATGTGAGTTTGAGTTGAGAGTGTGTACAAAGGCGTAAATATTCAATAAAAATAATTTATAAATTTATGGCAATAATATAAAAAAATTTCTTAGACCAAAAATTTCATATATTTTTTTAAAAAATTATTTATAAAATATTAAGAAGAGAATAGAATAAGTAGAATAATAGAGCGTATTTGAATGTGAGGGATGAGGGGGGTTATTGATATTGATGTATTTATAGCGAATTTTAAAGGGAAGACATTAAGGGAGTTCGTTCGTACAATGATATAAATATAGATTTGGGTTATAAGATTGTCTTTCATAATAAAACCCATGCAAATATTTATGCAACTTTTATCTCGAAAAATTATCATTTGTATTATATTTTATAATTATTATAAATTTCATAAGAATAGATAAACAAAAATTTTGTAAAATTCAAAATAGTTATACAAATATATACATTATCTAAAAAAAAATTTAAAAAATAACTAATAAATTATATGCAAGGAAAAGGAATTATAAACAAATTAATGGAATCGAACTGTCCGTGAACGTTCGCGAAAAACATCTTTAATATAAACGCAATTTAAATTCTCATTTTATTTGCAAGATATGATTTTATTTGATAAAATGTTATATAAATATTATATATTAAGTTAAGATCTAAAGTACAAACGTGAATGAATTATTATATTAATACAACTATTAAACATGCATTGATTAATAAAATATCAATAAAATGTGGAGGCTTAAATTAGTGTTTTATACATTTTAAGAAATGTTTCAGAACCAAACCAAATCTGAAAAGAAAAACTTATATCAGGTTAAAGCAAGACAAAAATATGTACGTTCAAAGTCATAAGAGAGATTTTAAAAAATAGTATTCCCCAATGCCTTAGTTTTTATTATGGGCATAGGAGAGGGAAAGGGGAACCAGTGAAATCTCTCCAACAAATTTTTTCATAATATCAATTTCAGCTAATAAGAATTACCTCTCTACAGTCCCCTACATACTCTCCCCAAAAATGAATATAATTTGTATTGTAATAATAAATAAACAAGAATTTATAAAAAATAAGTAAAGTTAATTTTTTTTAAATATAACTAACTATAATTTATTTTTTTTTAGAAAAGGCATTAAAGTCTAAAACAAATATTTTCTTTAAAAATTGTAACTCAGTTAAAGACCTGTAAAAAGTGGGTTCAAAACTCTCTCCATAACATTTATATGGTAATTACCCGTCAACAGTTTCCTACATACTCTACCCAAAAATGAATATAATTTGTATTGTAATAATAAACCACAATTTATAAAAAATAAGTAAAGTTAATTTTTTTTTAAGTATGACTATAACTATAATTTATTTTTTTAGAAAAGGCATTAAAGTCTAAAACAAATATTTTTTTAAAAAATTGTAACTCAGTCAGCCTATAATAAGTGGGCTCAAAACTCTCTCCATAACATTTATATGGGGAAGCACTTCCACTCATAAAATTCCATTTGCATATTTGGTATTTATAATGAGATTTTTATGGGTTTCCTAATGTGATTATGAAGGATATATATAAAAATAATTTGTATCTACCAAACATTGTGATTACATATTTGCACCACCTCCAAAAAAAAATATATATATAAAATTTAAGTCTTGAAAACACAACATGGTACAAAAAATGGGGAAGGAAAGAACTTGTTTGGCATGCGGGAGGTAACTCTTATAATGTTAAATGAGTAATAGGGTTAATATTTAATGTTACAATAATGATTTCATTATTAAAATAATACCTAATACTTACATTAAGATTAACAAGGAATTATATAAACAAAAATATATAAAAATTTAAGTCTTGAAAACTATTCTAAGATTTTATTCATTTATTAAATTGTATAAAATTAATAAAAAATAGATATTTTAAAATCTAAATTTATTACCTATAGTTATTTTAAAAATTAATTTTATCGTCATAGAATATATGTGAGAAAAATTACTGATAATTGTGAATTAATGATTAAAATAAAAACGACATATTCTAAATTTCTGTTTATGCCAAATTAAAATTATGGTGAATAATTTGTAAGTATGGCATTTATTTTAATGATAAGACATTAATTTACCAAAATATCAAATACTTTATATAATTTAAAAAAATATTATTTTAGACAGAGATCATATACCAATTTTTAATCATATTAAGTTGCACAATGCAATACTGTTCAAAATTCACATAATTATATTTTTTGATAAAAATATGTTTAAAAATATAATTTATCAATGGTTAAAATAAATCTAAATTAAATAATTCTTCACCATACTCAAAATATTCTAATTATTCTTTTCATAATTATAAGTATTTGTAATTATAAGATAAATAGTTTAAGATTTTGAATTAAATATTGTATTTTTTAACATATTAATTTAAATTTTTCATTACAAATCGATATAAAAATTTATATTACCTTTCAAAAGGTGCGAATTACCAGGTAAAATTTAATGAATAAATGAAATGAGTAAAATATTATTTTTTAAATGATAGATAGTTTATAGAAACTTTTTAATATAAAACTAAGTTTTAATCTAATAATTTATTGAAAGAAAATTATTGTACATATATATATATATATAAATAACAGTATTATTACAAAATGTTATATATATTATGAAGATAAGTAAAATTTTCTTAAGATTAATAATCATCATTTTTACGTTGTATTTACAAAAAGTAAAATTTGTATTATAAATATATTTATATTGTTTTTCAATCTCATACAATATTTAAGTTAATATATATCGAAAGAATTTAATTACAAGAAATCTTTTTAAGCTAACTTTGAAGGGGGAGGGCTCCATTATAAGCTAATATAATTTAATTTAATGGTAAAACCTATAAAGAAACTTTCGACGAGTCATCCTTCAAGCCAACCAGGTAAAGGCTTGCTCGCTGCTACCAATGTGCTCACTTCAGACAACTCTGGAATAACGGGAGAGCTACCTTTACTGGGATCAATCATAGGGCCAGGAGCACCGAGCACTTCAAACCCACAGGCAAGCACGGATTACAACATCAAGCAAGCCATCACTTCCCTTACAATACGAATGGATGAAGCGTCTAATGTTAACAGAATCCAGATCTCTAGGCCCAACTCTATCGCTATATTTATGTAATTATTGTTAAAATAACCATTTTGATCCAAGTTCAATTCAGGTTTAGTACAGTACAAATTTTTGGGTAAAAATAGATGTTGGCTCAGTTTAACTCTAGTTGTATGGATTTTTTTTTATTAATTATTAAAATAAGCTTGCAAATTTAACCTGAGTTTATCCTAGCTTGATGTGTTTTTTTGATAAAATAAGTATGGATTATAATAGCAGTTACGATTGATAAAAGATTGCTATATTTTAATAGACACTAAACCAGCTACATTTGGTAAGAGCTAATATTAGGCTTACCAAGCTCATAGACCGAATTAATGGTTAGTTTAAGGCTATGCTACATAGATAAGGATTAAGAAAAATAGTTTGTTAGCAAAATATTTAGAGAAATATAATTAAAATTTAAAAGAAGTATTCTGAAAAACAAAAGAAGAAAATGTATCGTTTAAAATTCAATTTATTCGGATAAGAAAGATATTTAGAGTTATTTGAATCAAAATTTAAAAATGTAGGTGAAAAAGAAAGAAATTTTTTTACGGTAGCTCATTTAAATTTCGGACTATTGTAAATATTGTTAAGATTAAGATACCAAATTGTGCAGGAATATAACTATCTTAAATGAAAAACAAAGAATTAAAAAGGTAGCATTTATAATAGATAAGATATAAAGTTTTTATTATAGTTATTTAAACGTGATAATTTATGAAATTAACAGAGAATTTACTGTATCTAATTTGGACTATAAGATATTTTAGATTTTATATTTTTTATAAGTTATTAAATAATTGATCACTAGATATAACTATGAATGACAAATAAAAAGGAACATAAATTGTGTAGATTAAAATTTATATGTGAAAATATATTATAATTGAAAATATGCGAAGATTAAAATTAAAGACTCAAATACAAATAGCTTGCTTAAAATATATGATAATTTAAAAAATTCGAAGAATAAGATTAGAAACTAAGACGAATATGCATTTATTGTTAGATATTTTAATGTTATAATAATTCTTATTAAAGATTTACCTTTAACTCTTATTTTAAGGGCTGCCAAAGAAAAAACAGCCTCAATGATCTGATATGGTAATAAGATACGCATAAGTTGATAATATTTAGTAAAATATTAAGTTGTTGATTAACCAAAAATCTTCATAAAGAGAAACGGTTTTCATCATTAGAAAATTTATGCCGCAATCGTGCTCAATTAGATATCGGAATTTTATGGATCAATAATAAGATTTAAGAATAATTATGCATCTTTTTTATAATTATAGCGGGAAAAAAACAAGCGAATATATGGAAATACTAAAGAGGTAAGGATAAAGGCTATTTAAATTGTTTTAATGAGTTTTAGATATAAGAAAATACCGAGCTTTTAGATAAAAGATCCATGAAGAATCAAGAAATATTTTTTTTTTGAATAATGATGATATGGATAAGAAAGTTTTTTTTGTTATTTAATTAAAATAAGACTAGTTAAAAGAGTGTAAAATGAAAAATAAGTATGAAAATTAAAAGTTTAAAAAAAGAAGATGATTGTAAAATAGTGATATATAATTGTGAAATTAAAAGTGCGTTAGAAATGTAGACAAGTACTGCTAGAATTATGAGAATCATAATTTTATGTGTTTTAAAATTGATGATAAACATGATGGATTGTTATGTTAACAAGTGATAATTATGAAAATCATAATGTAAATGTTGATGATAGACATAATTGATTGTTTTTTAACAAGTCTGAAAGAATTATGAGAATCATAGATTTGGTGTGTTAGAAATTGATGATAGACATAACTGATTTGTTTTTTAAAAGTCTGAGAGAGTTATGAGATACATAATTTTGGTATGTTGGAAATTGATGATAGACATAATTGAATGTTTTTTTTAACAAGTCTGAGAAAGTTATGTTTTGATAAGTTAAAAATTGATGATAGACATAATTGAATTGTTTTTTAAACAAGTCTGAGAGAGTTATGAGAATTGTAATTTTGTTGTGTTTAAAATTGATGATGTTTTTAACAAGTGTGATAGAGTTATGAGAATCATAATTTTCTGTTAGAATTGATAATAAATATAATTAAGTGTTTTTCAACAACGAGAGTAAACGAAAAAGAAGAAGATGATTTATTCCAGTAATTTGTGAGCAATGGGTGTTAACCCCATAAAAAAAAGAAATAGATATTTTATGTTGCTTAAAAGAACATGCGGGTACAAGGATTCATTAGTAAAATAAAATAAATGGGTAAGGGCAGAAGAATATTAAAAAAATATATATATTTGGGGTAAAAATTTAGAACTAAGATTTTTAGAATCAATATATTCAAGATAATTTTAGATTTAAATTCAGCTTTAGACATGTTTGACAAAAGATGTGAATTGATAGATAAAGGACGACTGCCTTTAAATGGCTCAATGAATATATGGGTCTAGGTTTCATTGAAGGTAAAAGGGTGATAGAATTTTACATAATGGTATAATTTATTTAGCATATTTGGACTATGTATTATAATTTTAAGATTTAATTTAGAGGAAAAAGTCAGCAAATATATAGAAGTTAAGCTATTTAATAGATTATGTAAGGAAGAATTAGGTTAGTGGAGATAACTGAAAACATTAGGATGAATTTGGTATATTTATATAGTTTATTGGTGTTTTTTGACTATGTATTTTAAATTTGAGAATAAATGTAAGAAAAAGTATATAAAGGGTAAAATAGATTATTTTAGGTATAAGTAGATTTGATGATATTACCTGAGACCTTAAAGAAAGATCGTGAGAAGAGACCTTAAGATAAAAACGATATCTCGGAAAGTGCAAACTGTTGTAGAAGATCGATAATTACAAGAATTTGATGAAAAAAATTAATCAATTACAAGAGAACTTTGGAAACAAGTTACGACTAGATAAAACAAATGGTCAAGACGTTCCTACTTCAATCGTTAATCGCTGACCAATATCGTCAATTGTTTACTGAAACTTTAGTCTAAGATATGGACGTTGACGATCATAGGGACAAGAATTCGTGGAAACAATCTTAATCGCAGACAAATTATCGTCAATCGTTTGCCGAGATTAACTAATCATTAGTTACAAGAGAACGTTAAAAACAAGCAAAGACTAGGATAATTTATCAAACGAATTTAAAACGGGTTTTGGAAAAAACAAAGATTGTAAATGAATCTTTGAAAAGTACTCGTTAATCTGGTTCGTCAATCGCTTACAGAGATAAAGAACTAATCGTTTACTATGGGTTTTACAAGCAACAGAAGATAGAATTCAAGATTTCAAGTTGTAATCGGATACAAACAGTCGTTAGAAACTAAGATTACTATACAAGGGGCAGCCGTCGTTAGAACTTAGAAGACATTAAAGATTAAGAAAAATAGATTTGGTAGAAATGCAAGATCAGATAAGTCGAAATAAAAAGAAAGTAGGCCATTCGCAGAATGGTGGGTCTAACTTAAGTGGAAGGGTGTTTTAATATTCAGTTAAACAAGAAATGTCTTATTCAAATTGTTTCAGATGTACTAAACAAAATAGAAATGGCTTATTTAAATTATTTCGATATTATTTAATTTAACACTATTTAAATGATTAATTTTGAAGAGATATATTTGAGTTTTTGTGAATATTAGACGACTTTCTAATTTTTGGGAAAGTATTTTATTTCTTTTTAAACCCTTTTTATAAATTTTTCTTTTTCTTTTTTTTTAATTATTTTTATTTAATTTTTTAATGTTTTACTGTATAATTTAATATGGTATAATTAATAGTTATGAATAAAGGAAACTTTAAATTAATTTAGTTTCAAAATTGATATTTTTATTATTTAATCTTATTTCTTTTTTTTAATTTAGAAAGACAAAACCTCGCAATTTAATACTCAAAATGCATATTCCTCACACCTCTAAAATAAAAACTCATATAACCAACAATTATAATTTGCAACCTCTGTAATATAGTAAACAAATGAGTTAGCTAAAATAAAATCAACCCCTTCCTAAACTCCTTTGATAACCCCCCCCCCCTCCCCCTCCCCAAAAAGAAGGTTATCCTAATTTCAATTATTTATCTCTCCCTTCTTACCATCAAATGTCTAATAAACTATAACCTCCTCCACCCCATCTCTATTTTTATTTCCACCATTCCCACCTTAATATTCTTTGTTATAATCCCTTTTACCTATTTGTATGGTCCCCCTCTTATTATTATTTTAATCTCAACAGTCAAATTCCATCTCACTGCAATAATTGTCAGCATGATCCAACAAAAATGCTTGGGCAATCAATTTGACAGCTACCTTGAAAATAAAGAAATATTCAGTATCGCCAGTGACCCCTACAACGGTGGGGGGTCCGAAGCAACTGCTTCTATAAATTTCTATGTGGGTACTTTTTTTTTTTTTAATTTTTTATTTTAAAATTTTTTAAAAAAATTTTTTTATTTTTTTTTTAAAAATTTTTATGGTCGATGTTTAGCAAATTAGTTTGTTATCCGATATTTCTTATCATAAAATTATTTTTTTTCAAGATTTGACGCAAAATTAAAATTTTATCAAAGAGAATAGTAAAAATTTAAATATTAAATCTTATATATAATCATTTATAATTTTTAGATCATTATCAAAATATGCCCAAAAATATTAACCAAAAAAAATATAAATGCTTATCTCGCAATCAAGCCTTCTGGGGGAACAGGCAACAAGATGGCAATATGATGAGCCTTATTAAACTTATTGCAGATTCTGAGCCTGTTCTTAAAATGTATATACAAGATAATGAAGAAAGAAGAAGTGAGAAAAAAATTAAGGGATTAAAATCTAAATTATATTCAAATCTGTTATCATATAATAACATAAATATTCTTATTGAAACCATGAAAAATATGGTTATAAAAAAATTCAAAAGGAGATTGTATTCAACAGGTGCCCATTCAATTATAGTTGATGGCACATATGATGTATCGAAATCAGAAGCAATAGCTTTGATAGTGAGATATGTTGAAAATAGCGAGACACCTAAGCCCGTTGAAAGGCTGATAGACATTTATTGTACGGGAAATACAACGGGCCTCGATATTAAAAAGAATATAATATCCAAGCTTGGCTCCATGAATCTACCCCTCGAATTCCTATTGGGGCAAAGCTATGATGGCGCCTCAAACATGAGTGGAAGAATTAATGGAATGCAGGCTTTGATTAGAGCGGAGGCGCCAAAGGCAGCTTTTATTTGGTGCTATTGTCATCGATTAAATTTAATAGTTGTTCAATTATGCCAATCAGTAAAAGAGCTGCGAAATGTCTTAGGAATATTAGACGAAATTTACGTATATTTTAATGATGTTAAAGATATGAAGTGCTCAAAACATGTCAGAGTGATTTACTGACAAAATCACATAGATTTTTACGCATCAAGAATACCACTCGGTAATATTATCTTAATTGTTTCGATATATAATGTTTATTATATATTTATAGAAGCTGGCTAACATCATATAAGGCGATTGTAAATTTTTTCCTACTTTATGATGCTTTGAGGGCAGCTTTGGCAAATTTAAAGGATTCTGAAGATCCTGCCACTTCCACTATGTCTAGTACTATAGTCTATAGAATAGAAAAATTTGATTTTATTTTATCACTATGTGTTTTGGATAAAATATTGTTGATAACAAGCTTGGCTTGTACAAAATTGCAAACCATTTCGAAGGATATAGGGTTTGCAATAAATCAAATTCAATTGGCAAAAGATTGCCTGATTAATATGAGAAGTATAATTTAAATTATTATCTTTTATTATTTTATAATCCTAAAATAGATAATAACACTGAATTTTTGGATGTCTTTTCAAAGGCCCAAGATTTTATGAAGAAGAGAAATTTACCTTTTGATTTTGAAAGTTCAAGACTTCAAACATTACAATCCAAAAAGGAGAGGTATATATATACTTTCATCATTAAATATAATATTTTATTTTAGCTATAAAATCAGTGTGTTTTATGCTGCACTTGATTTAATTATTATGCAGTTTAGTGAAAGATTTAACGATGAATCGATAAAATTTTTGAGTCAAACATCATTTTTTACCCCAAAGGGAATGGCGGCAAAGGCAATTGTTAAAGATGATATCAAGGATATCTGTGAATTTTATCAATTAAATACAAGTCAAGTTTTGTGGATGTTTAGAAATATTTATAAAATGGCTAAAACGGGGGACGTAATTATTATTCGTGACCTAGAGGTTAAAGAAGATTTGTCAGATTCTGAGAATTGTAAATTTATTTAATTAAAATATTTTTACTAATACATTATTTAGCTTCTTCTGATGATGATAATAATTCTGAGATGAATGATTCAGACTGGAGAAACTATTCATTTATTTTACCTTATCGTCTGCTTATAAATTTTTCTGCTTTCCCAAATTTAACAATTTTATATAAATATTTATTAACTATTCCTACTACATCATGTAATGCCGAAAGGGTCATGAGTAAAATTAAACTAATTAAAACAAGACTTCGTAGTGTCATGAAAGATCCATTTCTTAATAATTTAACCATTTTATCAATGGAAAATAATTTATTTAAACAATTAAATATTGATGAAATTATAAATTCTTTTGCTTTCTCTTCCCCTAATTTATTTAAATTATTAATTTAAAAATAATATTTTTAAAGCATATATTTTTTACATTATATTTATATTATAATAAATATTGAAAATTATTTTTGAAATTTATTGGTGTCAAAAAATAATTTACAATGGGGGAGGAGGGGGGGTACTTTAGGGGGGTATTCTGCTTCTATCCCTCAAAAAGTGTAGGGGTCACTGAGTATCGCTAACGTATTATATCTCATTTGTCACCAATACTCTTGTGAAATTCCATAATGAAAAACTAAGCCAAATAAGTAAGGCATTATAATAGCTATTCACCAAAGTAATTGCATTGCTATTCATGGTTACATGTATCAATGCATGTAAGCATATCTCTTAATAGTTTTTTTTTAATTTAAACTTTTTCATTCAGTTTTTTTAATATTTATATATTTATACGCACTATATTTTAATATTGCTAATTGTTTTTTTATTCTACCATTATTTTAAATTTGTTTTTAATAATAAATTAAATGAACAAAAAATTATTAACAACTGAAATGAAAATTTGGATTACTTTCATTTTAACAAAGTTTATTTAGATAATTTTTTCAAGACAATATATTTAAAAAAAATACAATTCTTTTTTAAAAATATTTTATAATAAATATTAAAAAGAAAATGAATACTAATAAAACAGTACTGGTTGGCGAAGAAAATACAATAACAATCGACAGTGATGAGAGGTATTTTTAATATTATTTTATTTCCGCGGCACTCACTCCGAGGGGCGATCCCGGTTCATTGAAATGTCCTATAAAATAGATATAACCAAAACCGTTTAATTGCCAAAGATTGTGACCAAAATATTTAAACATTTCATAATTAAGCGATTTTTCACAATTACACGATTAAAAATAAATTATTTATTTATTAAAAATCAGTCTGTGATTTTATAAAAATATATATCATCTATATATATTTTAAGGAAATAAACCATCAAACTTAGTAATAAATACAATTTTTAATTAATATAGCAACTATATATTTAAATTTAAATAAGTTTCAAAGCAAAAAAAAATCATAAATTTTATAAATTTGTCTAGTGTTTCAACATATGAATTTGATTTTTCCCTCTGAATATCAAGAATTTATATAATTCGATATTCAAACAATAATTTTTATAAATATCATATTTCAATAAATTATTTTATACATTTATGTATACTGTTTACATGTAAGAACTTCATCATTAATTCTAATCCGGTTGATATAGCCGAGAAAAAAAAACAATGAAATATTCCAAATTCACAAATTATATTTTTATACCGATCGTTATCTCTTCCCTTGAATATATTCCAAGCGGAACTTTAAAATTCTTAGAAAATATAGATGATAAGATAAGAGCCCTTACATCAGAACCAAAAGAATACTATTTTTTAGAACAAAATCTACAAATAACTATTTTTATTCATGTTTTTTGGGAACTTGTAGTCCCACCTCCGTTTTTATAAAATAATGTTTTATTTTTGATATGTTAATTTTAATATAATTATATTTGATAGTAATAATAAAAAGAATATTTGATAATTATATGTGTATTTTTTTTTATCTTTGATTAAATTTCATATATTTTGATAAAATAAAGTATTCAATTTATTTCCTTTAATCTTTGCTGATTTTAAAATATCTAGAGGCTAATACAGAAAAATAAATATTAAAAAGCAAGCCAGTCCTGAAAATTTACGTTTTAAAAGTATTTTGTTAAATTACCATAATTTTTGATTTGAAATTATTTTACTATACACATATTATGATTATAAATCTAATTTTTTTGATAAAAATTTTTTTGTGATGAGAGTTATAAAAGACTTGATGGTTAATTATTTTTATTACATTCTCTAGCTCTCTTAGTGAACCCTGTTCCCTTAGATTATTCCGTGCCCATTCAAAAAAGCTTTATTCATAAATGGCTTGTTTTTTTAAATTAAATTAGATATCTTTAGATTCCCTTCTCTATTTCAGAGCTTTCATTACCTTCTACAAAATAAACTAATCTTTTAAAAAAATTAAACATATGAATTCTAATATTATAAATGTAAATAACAGGCCTGCCTAAATGAAAGTTTATTAATGCTTTGTGTTTTAACAGAATATTTTATTTGAACCTATTTTATTATACATGCCTAACAATTATTATAAAATAATGTAAGATTTAATAAAAATATTTTGTGATTAGAGTTTGGCTAATCTGGAGTAAATAATTATTTTTCTTTTATATTCCCTAGCTTTCTTAGTGAATCTTGGTCTATTAGATGATCATGAGCATATAAGAAAAGTATAATAACCATTAAAAGTAATTTTTTGTAAATTACAGAATCTCTAATTCCCATCATCATTCTCAGAGCTTTCATAACCTTCTATAAAAAGTAAGATTAATCAAAATTTTTGCGGTTATTAAATCTTCCAATTTTAATCTATCTGATTATAAATGTCCTGATCATCCATTATACAATGATAACTAGCATCATAGACGTGTAAAGCATATTCTACAAATATGGGATCAAATTCATCTTCTTCTTTTTCAGTTAGTGCCATGTCATCCTGCATTTCTCAATCAAATGCCAAAAGCTTATTAAAATTAACTTCAATAAAGCATTTTATGATTGTGGTATTTGTCACCTCATCCCATGCAAATTTTATAAGATAGAGGCTATCATAAATTGTAAATCTATTTTTAAAAGAGGGGGTGTCATTTTCTTCCAATGGTATCATCTTTCTCATGCCCTTTCTATAATAACATTTGAAGGGCCTCATTGCACCAATTTCCAAAGGTTGAATTAGGGTTGAGGTATTTTCTGATAAAAAAATTAATTTTTTGTTATTATTTGTTTTACGACAAGATGCATTGTTCGGGACAATAAGATTATCTTCATTAATGAGGAATTCCATTCTCTTAAGATACCTTCAAAAGTTGCAGAATAACATTTTATCAGATACATCCCAATTTATGATAAATACCAGAGTTGTACATTTGCTCAAAATAAAAAGATCTTCAAAGATCGTAAAATTTGAAGATCTTTTATTTTTTGAAAATCTTTGAAGATCGCTGCGATCAACGATCTTCAAAGATCTTCATGATATTTATTTTTTTACCCCTTTATTAAAAGCCCAGATGTTTTTCAATTTTATTAATATAATATTTCTTTTATGTTTTATACCTCTCCTCCTGCCTTGATGAAAATTAAAAAACATCTGGGCTTTTAATAAAGGGGTAAAAAAATAAATATCATGAAGATTTTTGAAGATCGTTGATCGCAGCGATCTTCAAAGATCTAGATCTTTAAAGATCGTTACACAAAATTTTTAAAAAATAAAAGATCTTCAAATTTTACGATCTTCAAAGATCTTGCTCAAATTTTTGAGCTAGATCTCGCTCAAAAATCTTCAAAGAAGATCTTTTGTACAACTCTGATAAATACAACTGAGACCTTTTTCTTGTCTGGTTTAAAGTTCAGTGGTTGAGTTACACTAAATTTCGTTGTGCCCTTTGGTAAAGCTCGTTGTATAGTCCTGTCTCACCACAATTGTAAATATTAATACTTTGATAAGCTTTAATCAGAGATGGGAGTGTATTTTTGCTCAATTCATTTGTATTAATAATATTTGCACTCCCTTTTTCATTGCTATCATTTTGAAAATTTATATCCTATCCTTTCATAAATCTCTGCAACCAACTGTTAGTAGAAATGCCTATAAAATATTATAAAAACTTAAATTTACCTTCGTTGAAGGTTTGGCTAAAAACATAGACTTTTCTCACATCTCTGGCCCACTTAGACTGCTTTAATTAATATTTGATAAGCCAAACCAATAAAGCTGCTTCTGTTTTTGGTAACAACACATTCTAACTCTTTTAGATGCAGGGAATTTATTCCTTAAAAATTGTGAGCATATGCTTGCTTTATT